CACAGGGGCGCGTCACTCCACCCCCAGTTTCCCGCTTCCTACCACCGCTGTGAAACCGGCGGCTCAGACAGGTGGGTACGTCCCCTCAAAGCTCGCTCGGGGGCGCCACACACCAGAACACAAGACACAGGAACCGAACACCAATCAGCCGACTCTAGGGGCGGGCCGGACGCACAGTCAGTCCCACCCCGCGGGGAGCGGGGCCCGCCCTGCGCCCAAGCGCGCCTCAAGCCTCACCGCTTTCTGACTGGAAACGCGACTGAAGCGCCTGGCTCGAGCCGGCGGCCTGAAGTCGGCTGGTGACCAACAACTCGCCGCGCCCGTCCCAGTTTATAAAAATAATGTTAAATAAAAATAATTTTCTGTTAACTTAGAAACTTAAAATTTGACCAATCTAAAAAATGTGAAATTTTTTTCTAGTTCAGGATTTATATAAATAAAATCTTGAAGGTTCTAAAAGATGATGAATTTAGCACGTTCAAAATGTAAATAAATCTTTTTTAAAAAAAGAAACACAGGTCCTACAAGGGACCTTGCTACAGTTCAGTATGAGTTTGTGATGTGAGGGGATGCTATTTTAAATTAATTAAAGTTCTAGGTTTAGATTCAGATTTTCTAAGTTCCTATTATTTATTATTTATTAAAGTTTTAGTTTCAGCATGTGGCACAAAATTAGATTGCCAAACAAAATAAACAATATCATCCCAGATAGTTTTAAGTGTCTGCTCTGCTATAATCACTGTTAAAATACTTAAACTATTTTTGAGACTACATAATTTGCAGTGCCGATCTGCACCTTCTCTAGTTATATTAATGTCAATCTCTAATTATATTAATACAACTAGATACAATTAATCTCTAGTTATATTAATGACAATTCACCGTTTTGTCTTCTGTAATCTTTACTTATTGTATAAAATTCTTTTATTGTATACAATTATTGCATAAACTTATATAAAATTGCAGGCCTATTACTTATTTCTCACAATTTTTACTCAGAAATATACTCGTTATTTTAAAAGTACAGAAACTCAGATATAAATTATTGATTTGCTAGAAATTTTTGTGAGTTAAGGAAGAAGTCGGGAACATTTAAGGGAATAACCGACCGTCAAATAACTGCAGAGAATTTGACAAAGAAGGAAAAATCAATGGGAACAAATTACTCCGAGGCTCGGCCTGGGAAAGGACCATACAATTGTCGGAGCCCCAGATGTCACCCCCTCTCCCCAGGCACCAACGGGGCTGGAAGGGTCCGGCCGGGAACCGAATCAGCACCTAGAGCAAAATAACAGCTCTGTGGATTTCCTAAGGAGAATATCCTACATCCAAGGCAGAGGCCTTAGGGCCCGGAGAGTGGCGCAAGAACCCGGCACAGGGGCGCGTCACTCCACCCCCAGTTTCCCGCTTCCTACCACCGCTGTGAAACCGGCGGCTCAGACAGGTGGGTACGTCCCCTCAAAGCTCGCTCGGGGGCGCCACACACCAGAACACAAGACACAGGAACCGAACACCAATCAGCCGACTCTAGGGGCGGGCCGGACGCACAGTCAGTCCCACCCCGCGGGGAGCGGGGCCCGCCCTGCGCCCAAGCGCGCCTCAAGCCTCACCGCTTTCTGACTGGAAACGCGACTGAAGCGCCTGGCTCGAGCCGGCGGCCTGAAGTCGGCTGGTGACCAACAACTCGCCGCACCCGTCCGCTGCCTGCCCGGCAGATGGCTTTAAAACTCCACCGCTGCCCGGACGGCTGGGCTGGGTCCCCACTTCCCCGCGGGCGTCGGGCCCCGGTCCCCACCTTCCCCGCGGGCGTCCGGGCCCCAGACCTTACCTCCCTGCGGGCAGCTCCTAAGCCAGTCGAGCGCCGATTCATCAGCCCCTCGGAGGACCCCCCAGCCTGGCTAAGCCGAGCTCCAAGCAATGGATCGCCCGAGCCCCCAACCTCTCCCTTCCTGCCTTTTTTCCTCCAAAAGTTTGTAACTGGTTTTGAATCTATCTCTTGCAGGTTACTGTGTCTATTCTCGTTAAATACAGCTCCTCATCCTGGGTTCTAAGGGTCTACTAAGTGGTACCCTTTCCCTAAGGGTACAACAACTACACAAACACACCCCAACCTGCCTTTCTCATAAAAGTTAGCCAGGCCTCAGCTCTGGGACTTCCAGTCTCCTCGTATCTAAAAAGTATTTTACCTATATTATTTATAAAATACCACAATGGCACTCATGAGGTCGGTATTACTGAGGAAGCTGATTCAGAAATAAAGTTAAATTTCAGAAATAAATGTTCTAAAACACAATGATCTTTAAATATGTTTAGTCAACATGAATTTATAAAAACAGGGCAATAATGTGTTCTTCGACTTTAAACATGAACAAACTAGAAGTTATCCTTTTAAGTTTCTTTAGAATTGTCCTCTGAAGATTTGGCAGGGAATGTTTTGTAGATGATAAAATAGCAACGAATCAATGATGCTTTTCTTGCAGAGACATTTATCCTTCCTTTGGAAACCCCCACCTGTGACATCTGGGGCCAACCTACTGCTGTCTGACTGCCCTATTCCTGTTCTCTTTTTTCCTTGCAGCTCTACTGTTAATTAGCTGTATGACCTTGGAAAAGACCCAACCTTTAAGTCTTAATTCTTCATCTTCAATGATACTAATAAGCTCTAACTCCTAGATACTGCTGCAAGGATTAAATAAAATAATATTTGCAATAGTCCTACCACACAGTAAATGCTCATGAATATTAATTTCTTTCACCTTCGCTGAGATGTAAAATTATTCCAGTAGTTGGATAGGCCAGTTATTCGGATACTGATAAAATATCAAGTCTTTGTCTCTTGGAGAAAATAACATTTTGATTGCATAAACTATTCTTAATAGAAAGGTTGAATTATCATTCCTCTCAAAAATACTGGAGAGGAAAGTTACTTTCCATAGGCTGCATAGAGGAAAATAACAAAACCGTGCATTTGCTATAGTGAACCCCCCAGTGTGTTGAAATTCATACATTGAATTCTAACCCCCGATGTGATGGTATTTGGAGGTGGGACTTTTGTGAGGTAATTAACTCACAAGGGTAGAGCCTTCATGAGTAGGATTAGTGCCCTTTTAAGAGGCCAGAGAGTTCGCTCTTTTTCTGCCATGTGAGGATACAGGAGGACGGTATCTGCAAGCCAGGAAGGAGGCCCTCACCAAATACAGGATCTGCCTGCACCGTGATTTCGGACTTCTCAGGCACCAAAATTGTGAAAAATGTTTGTTATTTAAGCCACCCAGCCTATGGTAATTTGTTATAGCAGCTTGAACTAAGATAGGGTTTGAGTGATAGAATTGTAGAATTCAGTAACAAGCAGGTACAGGGGGAGTCTTACTGTCAAAGCACACAGTAGCAAATGGCCACCATGTTCATAAACAAAAACATTCATTCATTCATTCACTCATTTATTCAAGAATCCGTGGGGAATCTATAGAGCCTTACCTTTCTCTTAAAATAATGTAGTAAAAATGTCAAAGCTTCAGTTTTTAAAAGGCAGACTCAGGACAGTGATAAAGTTACTAAAAATCCCATTTTGTGGGGAGGGATTGCCATGGTTTTTAGTAATGTTGCCATGTTTCTCAAGAAAACATTTTAATCCTAAAGATTTAATTTTACAACCAGTGCAGCAACGTTATAAGCAATCCTCCAAATTGAATAACATAACTAACATTTGAAATATAGTCTTCCCAATCAACTTTTGGCATGACTGCATAAAGAGCTCTGCTATCTCACTTCTCAGTGAAACTGGTGAAAATTCTAGAAAAATGACTCAGACCCTCTGGAAATGATCCTAAGGGCAAATAGCAAAAGAAGAAACATCTCTTCAAGAAAGAGTTATAAAAATTTGGTAAGAAAGGCAAGAGTCTGTGGTATTTTATCCAAGACTCCCAAGTCCCAGCTTAGCGAGACAGTCTCCATTCTAGACAGCTGCAGCCAAGAATACAGAGCGCTCTCTGCACCCAGCTTCCACTAGAAGGCGCGCTTTCTTCCTTTCATTGTGGTAAAACCTGAATAATATTTATAATTTTAACCATATATAAGTGTATAATTCAGGGATATTAAATACACTCACAATGTTGTATAACCACCACTCTTATCCATACCCAAAACTTTTTCATTATCCCTACTAAGAAATTTGTGCCCATTCAGGGAGGGGAACATCACACACTGGGGCCTGTTGGGGGGTGGGAGGTTGGGGGAGGGATAGCATTGGGAGAAATACCTAATGTAAATGACGAGTTGATGGGTGCAGCAAACCAACATGGCACATGTATATCTATGGAACAAACCTGCACGTTGTGCGCATGTACCCCAGACCTTAAAGTATAATTTAAAAAAAAAGAAAGAAAAAAAGAAATTTCTGCCCATTAAACAGGAACTCCTCCTTTTCCCCTTCCCCTAATTTCTGGTAACCTCTATTATACTTTCTAATTCTGAGTTTACCTATCCTAAGTACTTCATATAAGTGAAATCATACAATATTTGTTCTTCTGTTTCTGGATCATTCACTTAGCACAGTGTTTTCAAGGTTCATCCACGTTGTAACATGGATCAGATTTTTACCCCTTTTTAAGGCTCGATAATATTCCATTGTATGTATATACCACATTTTGTTTATCCATTTGTAATCCTGGGCTAATGGACATCTGAGTTGTTCCCACATTTCCACCTTTTGGCTCTTGTGAATAATACTGCTATGAAGATTCCTGTGTAAATATCTCTGTTTAAGTGCCCGCTTTCAATTCCTTTGGATATGTACCTAGGAGTGGAATTGCTGGGACATATGGTAATGCTGTTACAGCCAATGCCATGAGTTCTAGCTGATATATCCAATATAACCAAAATTTTCTTTACTTTGTAACATCCACATTTTTACACTCTGATTAGTCAGTAGGAATTGATATTGAAAAATTAGTCTCAGCCTGGGCAACACAGCGAGACTTCGTCCCTACCAAAATTTTAAAAACTAACCAGGCGTGATGGTGTGTGCCTATAGTCCTGGCTGCTTGGCAGGCTGAGGCAGGAGAATGGCTTGAACCAAGGAATTCCAGGCTGCAGTGAGCTGTGATCCCACCACTGCACTCCAACTGGGGCAATAGATAGCAAGATCCTGTATCTAAAAAAGCAAGAAAGAAAAAGAAAAATTAATGTTGACGGCTCTAGAGAAGCAGGAACCAAGAAATGTTGAGGTTTCAAGACTATTTTTCTGCAGGTGACAGCCAGAAATGTGTTGTGTTTTTTATCGTCAGATTTGGACAAGAAACAGTGAAGAGATCGTTTGAGAAGAATCTGAGGACTACAAAATTAATTTCTGAGGAAAAAAAAGAAAAAAGGAAATAAAGGTAGTTTGATATGATGGGATTCTCAGGAGGAAAGAAAAGTTTAGGGAGGTAGGCCCAATTCAGTAGATACTTCAATAACAAAAGGAAGACTGAATTAAACACAAACCAAAAGAAAATCTTTCCTCCCTTCCTTCCTTCCTTGTTTCCTTCCTTCCTCCCTCCCTCCCTTCCTTCCTTCCTTCCTCCCTCCCTCCCTTCTTTGTTTCCTTCCTTCCTCCCTTCCTTCCTTGTTTCCTCCCTTCCTCTCTCCCTCCCTTCCTTCCTTTCTCTCTTTCTTTTTTCAGGGTCTTGCTCTGTTGCCCAGGCTGGAGGGCAATGGTGTGATGGCTCATTGTAACCTTAACCTCCTGGGCTCAAGCAATCCTCCTGCCTTAGCCTCCCAAGCAGCTGGGACCACAGGTACATACCACCACACCACACCCTGCTAATTTTTAAAAAAATTATTTTTATTTTTTGTAGAGATGAGGTCTTGCTATGTTACCCAGGCTGGTCTTAAACTCGTTGCCTCAAGCAATCCATCCACCTTGGCCTCCCAAAGTGCTCAGATTACAGGTGTGAGCCACCATCCCTCGCCAGAATAATTTTTCTTTAGGAAAGATTTAGTAAGTATCTAGGTAACCGAGAACATAATGACATAAATTGATTAGAAAGCAATTCATTGAGTTCCAAATGGCTAAGAAGAGTGTTTAATGGTTTTGTATAAGATCCTGTACTCATATTTCAGGAAACCTGTTTTTTTTTCTTTTCGGGCAAAAATTGACTCCTCCTACCAGAATGAATTTAAAATACCTTCTGTTCTCCAAAGTCAAGAATGTTGATCTTAATAGAACTGCCAGACAGGGTGTTCCAATTAGGCCTAGAACCAATGCACCATAGAACCACAGCCAGCTAAGGTATATTACAAAGAACATAAGCTTTCCATAGAAAACAGTTGAGAAAGGTTCAGCATTCAATGGATGTTCTTTGTACTTGACTGTATAAATTAGATTCTAAAATGTGTTAACACAAACCCTGAACTAGGAAGCAAACATCCCAGGACACAAAATTGAGGACAAAGGAAAATATTCTACGCCAGCATAGATTATTTCCTAAGTAAAAATTAATGCCAGTTTCTTCAGGAGAAGTATGTGGGGACTCACAACCAGTGTATGCATGTTCCATAGTTGTATTTAGGTTTGTGAGGCAAACTATACATACTTCACATTGAGTATACTAGTTTAGTCATTCTTAGCAAATTCTTTTGCCATTGTTATAAAGTCTCTGTATAAATAAGAATTAACATATTCCTTCAGGTGGTTGGTGTCTGGAGTAGACTTTACCTGAGCATTATAATTAAGAATCTGGCATCCAGAATCTTATATAAGATTGTATTAATGAAACATGCAACATATTTTATCTTCAAAAAGATTATTTAAAGGAACTTTTAGAAGCCACTGGCAGATATCTTTAAAAGATATTTAAATGTCAGAAGTCAGAGTAGAAAACATACTTTTAAAAAAGCATTTTTGTTATATTTTGTTTTGTATTTTGTCTCAGGCCAAAAAGTAATTGGCAGGATCTTGCAGCCATATGATCAAAGATTCATTATTATTATATATATGTTGTCCAGAAATAAGATAGTTTCTACAGGTGATATAATTTTATAGTTAATCGAGATATTGCAATGATACAAATAACCAGTTAAGATACTGAACAAATTGATG